CATTTGGATTATCTAACTAAAAAAACAAGCTGCTTTTTAATAGAGTATTTTTTCAATATTTATAAAAATTTAAATACCAGTAAGCCATATTATAAGGGAAAAAAATTAACAAATTATACATTAAGCACCCTAAACATAAAAGTAGATTTAAAATCATTACCTGCTGGTTATCACACAGAATATCCACCAAAAAAGGATTTGTGTGATAATTGTGACAAAGCATTTGATCCAAACTTTCCATATACCGATGGGCATGTATTGATTTGTGGCCATAGTTATCATTATGAATGCTACGAAGATCTTGGAAAAAGTTGTATACATTGTATGGAATTTTACAAAAAAGGCATCTTTAAAAATGTTGATGCTTTTGTATCACAATTAGAAAAATTTTCTACAATTGAGCTGGAAGATAATGATGATAATGGAAATGATGATGATAATAATGATGATGATTCAATTAATATAGACAAAGAACATGTAAATAGATTATTTTTAAACTTAAAATGAAATAAAAGATTGGTAAAAATCATATTTATTAAAAAAATTTTTTTTCCTATATAATTATTAATACAACTATTAAAATAATTTACAATTTTAAAGGAAAATACCTTTATAACAAAACCTCATGAGTATTAATGTTATCCTGATGCGTTGGTAATTAACTGCCCTTCTTTCTTTATTATATGTTTAATTGCATGATTTTTTTTAAAGGTGTAATAAAAAAAAAAAGTAAAAAAGATATCTCCTGACAAGGTAAAATTACTAAGTAAAATAAGTTGCATATAACAAAACCTCATGAGTATTAACGTTATTGCGATGCGTTGGTAATTAACTGTCCTTCTTTCTTTATTTTATAATGAATTATAAAGTTTATTTAAAAATTATTATTTAAAAATTTTTTGTGTCAATTGAAAATGTGACTTTACATATATGAATTCATTTTAAAATTAAGAAGTTACACGATATAATTTCAAGATCGTCACTATGTGACAAATGTGATAAAGAGAAATTCCACCATGCTCTTGATTCCATCCTTTCCAACTATGTGTCCTAAAAATTTCAACTCCATATTTCCAAATTGACATTTCCGTGGACTGAGTTTCAATCCTGCTTTCTGTATACATTCAAAAACATTTTCTAGATGTTCTAGATGTTCCTTCCATGTCTTCGAGAAGATGTTGACATCATCAAGGCATACTACTATGGATTTCCATAACATGTCCCGGAGGACTTTATCCATCAATCTCTGAAAGGTTCCAGGAGCATTTGTCAATCCAAAGGCATAACTGTAAATTCAAAGAGTTAGACAGTGCACTCGCTACTATAAAGAAACCTACAGGTACAAAAAATTTTTTAAGAAAATAAACAGTGGTTGCTCCAACTGTTGCATTGAAAAAATAGAGTTGTACAATGGGAGAAGGTGGTGGGAGGTGTGTGGAGAAGACAAGATGTATGAGGCACATAAAGCCATCATGATCAGATATATAGTTAGAACAATAGGTAATTATAATAAGTAAAATAATCATTTTTTTATATTATTATTTATTTATGCATAATTTAAAAGAAACTTTTTATGTCTGTTAAAAATTCA